GGAAAATGTCTATGAGAAAGCTTACAAATGCATTGGGACGAAAGAGAAGGTTGCATGGATTTTGGGTCTATGTTAGGTCTCATCAGTCACACACGTCTTTCACGCAATACAACTTATATACAACGTACGTTTTCTTTTTCTAGCATCCACTCGTTTTTTTTTACCTTTTTAGATTTACCATATGATGTATAAATTCTGATTGTATTTAGAAAAGATCATTCTGTTTGAAAAATATATCGACCGACAAAAATAATAGGAATTTAGTGGTATTAAGAGGTAAATGCTAGCTAGCTCTATTGAGAGTTATGGGTCTATTGGTTTGAATCTTCGAAGTATTGAAGTTAAATGTAGCATCTCGTAATACCATTTCCTAGGGTTTTAGCAAAATCTGCAAAACCTAGAAACCTTATTATATAGTATGAATCTATGATTCATTAATCTTCACTGTTTTGTCTTCTTTCTCTCTTTATATATAATTATTTCTCGAAGTCACAAATTTTTATTTGAGAGGGAACAAACGCACGTTTTGGTTTTGACATTTTACGACATCCATATATAATCATGAATCCTAATTTTTGACACATTATAAGATTAATATTTGTAGACCTATAGTAGACATTTGCACATAGCTCTTTCGTCTTTATCCTTTTGTTTTGGAAATTTTTACGAGATGTGAATATGCATGTGATCAATTCACTTTTTGTTTTTGTTTGGTTTTAAGATCTATAGACAATTAACATAAAATAAAACAGTTTTTAGCAAACTCATGGCTCGTGGTAAAATAGTGAACAAGCGGTTAAGAAAAAAATTTCACTTACTACATTATTAATTTTTTTTGCTAAATTGTAAATATTTTATTAAAATAAAAATGTTTTAGTTTTACAAACCGAAATTTATAAAGATATCGATGGTTTCATGGTAAAAGAGATAAAAACATGGGAGCATAATTCATTACGAAATTCAGTCCATCTACTCGACATAAACACGAACGTTAGTGGAGCATAATGAAGTGTTAACGATATTATTGTTCTTCCTAAATCTGGATCAAGATGACGGTTCTATAGCAAGACGCAACAGCCGAAAGTACCATGCGCATGAGATGGAAACCCATTTATTAAGTAGAAGGTATAATTTCTTATATTGAATCGTTCAATATATTCAATTTTTATGAATCTTTATCTTACGTGAGTGTAATAACTTTTTAATACTATATCTTGACAAGATTTTTTGACTGGACCCAACATAAAGAGGTAACTA